TTCCAAGACAAATGCAACCCACTTCTCTGGCAGCTCCACGGCGTATTGAGTGTTCTTCCCCAACACCCCACGGAACTGCCAGAAATTCACACCAGATGCAGACGTGGGCGTGGCATTGGCTAGTTGGCGATGATGTCAGATGGATCTTGGCTGAAAGCAGAGGGTACCTGAAAGATGTGTGGATCATGACCCATCGTGAGTAACCTTGGGAAGAGTGGGAATTTGGAACGCTTCATTGGACCAAGAGGCAAACTTTCAAACAGAACGCGGGCATTCTGGATGGGTTCGAGTTTGGAAAGGTGTCCGCCAGGGTTGGGTCCTCCTGCTGTGCTTATTCAATCCGTATGCTGAGCAAACAGCAGGAGACAGTAGATCAGGTGAGGAACAGAACAGATCAAAGATGGCGGCCCCCAGGATGGATTACAACTCCATGTAAATAAAACAAAGGTTCTCTCAACTGGATCAATAAGCAACGTGATGATAAATGGAGACGCTATTGACATTGACAAGGATTTCGTTTTCCTTGCCTCCACAATCAGCACTCCTGGAAACGGCAGCCCAGAAATCAAATGACATATTTAATTGGGCGGATCGGCGGCCAAGGACCTTTTAAAGGGTTTGAAAGAGCAGAGAGGTCACTCTGAGGACCGGGCTGAGGCATGACCCGAGCCACGATAGTTTTGCTTGTCTCTTATGCATGTGAAAGTTGGACAATGAATACGGAAGACAATAGTCATGGGTGCCTAGGGTTTAAACAAAGAATGGTTTTATTGGCATCTGCTTCATGTATCACACAATTTAACCCATCGTCCAATCATGTCAAGAAGAGTTGTGCAATCAAATGACAATCGTTTTCAGAACATTTTCTTCTCATGCTCATTGTTGTGAGCGCCTGATTGCTCCCAACCTCCCCCGCTGTGCCATTAGTTGATTATTAACCCAGTTACATCTCTGTAGATTTACCGATCCTGGATTTCATAGACAGAAAATCATACAAAACACAAATAAAAAGTGAACCAAAAAACACCCAAAACCACTGACAACAATGATAAAAAACATAACCGAATAGCCCCAATCGCACGGAAAGCAGAAAATAAGTCAAAGCTGAAACAACTTTAAAATGGGCCAAAAGGGAGATCAAATGATAAGGGGTTACATTGTAACCTCATGACATCAGCCATGGCCAGCTGTCCCGTGAATGCTCTCTGTCCCATAGCCCGGCTGCTCACATCCTTCAGCGATGGTCAGAGGGATTCACCAGAGGCGTAATCCATGTGGGACCCTGCAAGTGGATTTTGCGTTTTGGATGCCTTTGAATGAAGATGCTAAGTGAAGAATCTTACTGCCAAAAAAAACAACAAATCTGTCTTGGAAGAAGTACAGCTAGAGTGCTCTTTAGAAGCAAGGGCAACCTCCCCTACTTTCAAAATGTGATCAAGAGGGAGTTTATACTGCTTGGTAAAGTCAGTGAAAAGAGGCAGACCCCCAAGCAGAGGGACTGACAGTGATCATGGGCCCTTCATGGCACTGTTTGTGAGGATGGCAGCCCAGGACTTGGCTCTATTAGGCACATGGTCACTATGGGTTTGAACCTGACCGCAATAAGGGAAATTGGAAGTGGACTTGGACATCCCAGGCCCCAGGAAACTAGGGTTGGGCTGGAGGGAGGAACACAGATTGCTGCCAGGGCTGTGAAGGATGAAAAGGAGTTTGCCAGAAAGTGCAGCAAGTGCAAAGATTTGCAAAAGGGGCCTGGTGGGGGGCCCAGAGGATACTGGTGACCAGGGCTTTGAGGGCCCAGAAAGATACCGTCCTGTCTTCGTAGTGTGAGAGAATGACCAGCAATTCCCCAACTGCTGATGAAACAGATTAACTAGAGATGATTTAGAAGCCAGCGCGTAAGTCAGTAAGAGGGGAGGAGGCAGTGCATTAGGGAGGTTGGTCAGTGCGGAAGTCCAGGGCCTCCTGATGAGGTGGCATTTGAACCCAGGCCGAGCCCGGGAGGAGTGGTGGCCTAGGTCCAGAGAACCTGCACAGGGTAGAGGGGCAGCAGGTGGCTGAGCTTGATCCCAGGGCACAGTGTGAAGCCCCAGAGGTTTGCTGTAAAGTTGCCGGTCGCCATGGAGACCACACAAGCCCAGGCACGCCCCCGGGACCACCTGCTCCCCAGCTGATTTCTTAGCACAGAAATTCCAGGCAGGCCATCCCATGACCCCAAATATGAAATCAAAGATTCTGGGTTGGAAAATAGGTTGTGGAGCAACTAAATGAAACCCATAAAAGAATTGGACAGCTAGCTACGGGCTGGTGGCCGGCTTGTGAGACGCCATCAAGTCGGTTCCAAATCAGCGACCCCACGGACCAGGGATCGAAGCGCCAGTCCTGCACCAGCCTCACAATGATCTGATCATGGAGGCCATTGTCATGGCCATCAGATGGCTTCCATCCCCCTCGTGGAAGGCCTTCCTCCTGTCCAAAGCTGTGACAAGTGAGGCCGACTGGACATGCACAGGTGAAATCAACAAGGGGGCGGGCAGAGCCGGGAAAGTGGCCCTCACCACTCGTCCCAACGGCGGCTGCCCCAAGCCCTTCAATCCACGTTGTAAGCGTGCTTTCCACGCTCCTTTCGCGCCCCACGGCTCAGAAAATCAGGATGGGGGCTCGGGACCCATGGTCCAGACGGGGAAACTGAGGTTTGGAGTAAGGGGCAGCGTTGGATTGGTCATGAGAGCTGGCAGTGGGGGGCTGCAAGGGTCTCTCCGTGGAGGGTGGGAGCTTGGCTTGGTTTTTCTTTGCCCCGCTGTCCTCTCCTACGTGATTCCGGAGCCTGCAAGACCAGGCGTTACTGTGCTCCAAGGCGGGGCGCTGTGCCAAGGGCGCCCCGCACCCCCACCCACAGATACTGCGTGCTATGCTGTACCACGGTGGGGAGCAGGCAGGGGCGGGGCAGCCCCTCCCTTGTAGAAGAATCCGCCCTCCACACAGCTAGCCCTGCGAAAGGAAGGGGCGTGTGCCCTGGGGTGGGGGCGGTCCTCGAGTTAAGCCCACCTCCTAACATCTCCTGGCCGCCTGGGCCTTGGCCGTCCACCTGATGTCCTGGGGGTGGGCGTCCTGCTACCCTGTTGGGGATTTTGACTCCTAGTGGCCTTCTAATGACGCTACGGAATCCCCTTGTCACCGCCCCTCCTACGCCTTGCTCCGCCCTCCGCCGCCTCTGGCCCTGGCCATTACCGGGGCACCTCCCCGCCTCAGTTTCCCTGTCCGTACCATGGCAATAGGGGCCAGCGATAGTCCAGCGGTAGAATCCCACCTTCTCTGCCTTGTCTTAGTGGTTACGCATGGGGCTGCGAGCTGCAAGGTCCGCCGTTCGAAACTGCCCGCTGCTCCGCGGAAGAAGGACCTGCGGTTCTATCCCCATCCATAGTGAACGTCTCGGGAAACCCACAGGGGT